ATTATAATATATATTTATTGATACGCAGAGATATCATTTCTTTGAATGGCTAAATGTAAACTGAAGGTACTCGATTTCGAACCAGCGTATGCAGAGCAGTGTGTGAGTCAAGGTCTTTTCACATGGCTTTTGCGACGTGCAACACAGCGTGGCCCACTTGATGCTAATAAGATGTTCGCGAGTGAATTGCTTGCACTTTTACTCCAATCATCTGAATCGGCCAGAAAAAAACTAACTGATAAAATTGATGGCTTCGATTTGCTTTTGAGGGTAAGATATAAATGATTTCACTCTATTCGTACTTTCGCCGTTCTCAATTATGCCTTTTCAAGCATTTAATTTCAGCAAAGGAACATATATGTACCATTATAGGCATTAGCAAGCTATAAACGACACGATCCAAATAGTGCAGATGAACGGGAACATATGGAAAATTTATTTGACGCTGTTTGCGCCTCACTTCTCTATGCATCGAATAGGCAAAAGTTCATTGATGGCGAAGGTCTACAACTGATGAACTTAATGCTAAGGTTCGAAATTTTAATTTAGTCGATGATCATGCTTAGTGCTCAGTTCATGTGAACTATAGTAGTAGAACAATGTTATTGAAATGCTGATATTAAGGGAAAAGAAACAGTCGCGAGAAAGTGCATTGAAGGTGTTGAATCATGCAACGAATGGAGTTGAAGGCAAGGCGAATTGTAACAAATTCATCGAAATTTTAGGTGCGATCTCTTCTTTTATTTATTTATGGCATAGTGCTTAAAAATCCGCATCATTTTTATCGATGGCAATTAAAATGAATGAAAAATCAACTTTTTAGGTTTGCGTACTATATTTCCACTCTTCATGCGCACACCGTCGAAAACTAAGCGCAAAGATACAACACCAGATGAACATGAAGAGGACGTTTGTTCGGTTGGATTTTGCTATTGTTTCGATTGTTGATGAGAATGTAATTAGTTTTTTTTATTCAATTGAAGATTCTCTCGTCGCTGCTGCGATCTTGCACTGAGGATGGTCGTAATCGTGTTCTAATGAAATTCGCGGAGCACGAGTACGAGAAAGTTGATCGCGCTCTTGAATTATTGCTAAAATACAAGTGAGTATCATCGTTAATCCCTTTAAATTGTAATCATTCTGCTGATCTGTCAATAAAATAAATATCACTGCTCTCAATATATAACGTATTAGAAATGATTGATTTGAGAGAACGAGTTGATCGTTTCGATTCTCGGGAAGCAAAGCGCAGTGATGCATCGAAGTTATCCGACCAACAACTCGAGCAGCAATACTTAGATCGAATGGAATCTGGTTTGTACACACTACAGCGGATTGCATTGATCCTTGCAGACGTCTGTGTGAATGCAACTCCACAATGCCGCCTTCGTGCTAATCGACTATTGCAAATGCGTACTGGTTCCTCGAAAATCAACAAACTTCTCATACCAGTTCGTTATAATTCGTTCATTCGTCTCTCATCCATCTCCTTTGTGATTTATTTCAGATTCTCGAAGAGTACGATATCAATTTGGCAGCTGAAGCGGATGAAGAACGCAAAAGAACACGATTACTGATTGCGAGGCTCAGTGCTATTGACAAGAACACTTGATTGCTTCGCAGTTCAGCTTTATTGTGTTTGTTGTTGTTATTGTTATTTCGTTGTATACGTTCAATTATACGGTCGCGTACCGATAGATCAATTCAAATTGGTGATCTCAGTAATATTGTCTATAAACTTATTGACGATCTGTTGCTGAGTTGATTGTTTCAAGGCAAAATTCTATCTTGGGATATGTGTGTGTTTGGAGTTATTGTCTTGAGGTAGGTGGTGTTCAGCTTCTGCTCTGTCTAATTCTGCTCTTCCGCAGTTCTCATTTACGGGTCATTCCTCATTTCTTATTGATTGTTTCATCATGGTATTGATTCAGTTAATGTTACCATTACGACTAGAAATTTGGTTGGGTAGATGTTATATTGCTGACATTGGTCGGCAATATTCTTTCTTTCAAATTAATTCGATCCTTCAAGTCTGACATGAATCCTTTCGAATCATGCGTACAAATCTTTGTATGTTTCTGTTGTGGTTTACACTGTTGATTAATGAAGTTCATTAAAATCGTTGTTAACCAAATAACCAATGAATTCTGTCACCAATTGCAAACAATGCAGTCTTATATACTGATCAATTCATAGATTAAGTAACAAACAACCATAAAGATTATCATATATCACATGGTCACAGTTTTGGAATATCAGCAATATTTTATTAGAACGATTGGTTGAATCTGTATAGTGCTTCCGTTAATCACTCGTTATTGCTAACCAAATCTTTGCAATATCTTAATTTTTGAAAACATTAACTGTTGCTCAGAGTGGACGCTTTGAAGTGCATATGAGCCAAGTCTCGTCATTAGTTTTTTGTTAGTGATGGATTATGGTCAGCACTGGTGTATATTCGGACAGACTGATGATTATTTGTGAGTGGCGAAATCAAAAATATATATAATTATTCGCTGATGTCTGTCGCAGTCTGATGACCGCACAAATTTTGTTTAAATTTGCTGCTCAGAGGTACGTCGTTGATCTGTTGCTGTAAATATTTCTTACTTCGTATATAGTCCACAGTCAAAATCCAACGAAAGGCCGTTTGTGTGATTTTCTTATGTGAAGTAATCTCGCATTTGCTATCTAATGCTGTTGATTCAATACATTTTTCATATCACGTACATTACCTCAATGAAAATGTAAACCAATATAAAAATTAGCTCAATTGTAGTCTTATGAAGTTTGTTAAATGGGAGTTATTAGAAGAAAGGTGAATTAAAATTTCATTTATTATTAGCGGTGAGTATTGAACTGACTGATAGTAAATCCATTCAAAAAAAATTGCATTTAGTATTATCACTATTCAAGGCGTTCGTTTACTGCTTGCCGTTCCACTCAGATAAGTGGGACCGCCGTGGCTGTTCCAAAGTGCATTGAACTCGTCAGCCAAGATCTCAGCGCCCTTCGTCCTTGTTAACTGCGTCTGATCCAGTGACTTTTCAAACATTTCCATGTCGTCACGTCCTTAACTCATTTTCAGTCATGTAACGGAATGAATGTTTCTTGCTTTAAAATTATTCATTTACGTCTTTCATTTGACTTAAGTGCATATCTCAAAGATATTGAGGTATGTATATTGCATACCTCATATCTCAATATTTTTAAAATAAAAAGTCAGAAACCCGAAATGAGCAAGCGAGGTTTCTTATTGGGGTAAATCTCGATCTGCCTTGCTACCCACGGCCCATCGAAATGTGCGTACCAGACTCCAGTTTGGCAACGATCACTTGACAAACCTGCTTGATAATAAACTAGCTGTAGTAGTTGTAAGTCATTCATTGTCTCTTTGTATTCATGCATATTCATCTAGAGTAGTACTTTCAGTTCCATTTTAGATTACTGTAATATCTTTCTGAGTGATAGATATATGAATAGATACTGAAGATTGCTACTGTTGACCGAAATGCTGATGTGAATGGGAACAAGTAACTAGCGAGAAGTAACGCTCATGAGCATATCGGTGATGGCTCAATATTTAATATCCGAACGATTCAATTCACGAATGACTGAAAATCGAACGAACCAGTGCCATTCGTATGCCCATCAAAGGGCACTTTGAAGTAGCGTTGAAGATTTGAAGTTGAACCATGAATGTGTTTCGTATCCACTGAATTTGTTGCTGAAATCAGTAAGAGTCATTCAATGAACATTTAGGTACTGCTCAGAGAGAATTATACAAAGTTTTTTTTCTCGTTGGACGTATACAGTCACATTTGACTCAAAACAAACAAAAAAGAAGCCTCAGTAAAAAACTCCAAACAAGAGAACGACATTTGCTAATGATGTGGCTCGGAGCACGAGGTCTATGTCGTTCGTTACTGGATTGATTCGCATCTATCCACTGCTGATACGTTTGTAAACGACGGTGAAATTCGTCACGAATTGCCTCTATCAATTTGATATCTGAATTAATCTCAGATGATATCTTTAAAAAGAGGTTTTCATTTTCTTGAGCAGCCTTTATTCAACTGTTCCATAACAAGCCTTGCCTCATTCATTTATTCCATTATGAATATTCCACTATTTCTGAATACTATTAAACGAAAACTTAAGAATTTTCGAGAAGTCTTCTAAAAGTTACAGCTAAAAACGTATGAAAAGACACGCTCATTTTCATAGGAACAGATCGACAAATGGTTTTCACCTGTGGACGTATTCACACTGTCTCTCAGCTCAGCGTATGTCCAGTTCGATAGGTCGTAATTTCTTAGTTTTATTTCATTTTGTAGTGCTCTTAAACTGAAATGTTATTAGAAGTAAGTGGAAAGGAAGGCTGCATTCGAGAGGGATTTTTGTACGATGAAGAACAAAAAATGAGTATTAATGCATGATTGTTTCTTACAATTGATCATCACTCTCAGCACCATATACTTGACCGTCCTCTAAAGCTAACCTCCTCGCTAATTGTTCGTCTAATCGAGTTTGTTCATTTTCTTTCACTCTACAAATTCAATTAAGTTGAAAACTAGACTGGTCTTTAAGATGGCTTATGAGAGGGATTTTTGTACGATGAAGAACAAAAAAATGAATATTAATGCATGATCGTTGCTTGCAATTGATCATCACTCTCAGCAACATACACTTGACCGTCCTCTAAAGCCAACTGCCTCGCTAATTGTTCGTCTAATCGAGTTTGTTCATCTTCCTTCACTCTACAAATTCAATTAAATTGGAAACTAGACTGGTCTTTAAGATGGCAGATAAGCACAAAATAGAGCATATTGAAATATGAGTAAGTTGGAAATGACTTCAAAAGCTCTGCTGACTTGACTTACATACCTGTTTTTACGTTGTTGTTCATGACGCTCACATTCCTTTTCTCTTTCAGTCTGTTGTGTCAAGAACCTTTCTTCCTCCCACTTCCTCCTCTCTTCCAATAAACGTTTCCTGTTCAAGAGAACAATCAAATATCCGACGGATGAGATAGATCATCGTGCAAAGTTCCGATTAAACAATGATTAGATTCAAAACCATTATATATTGCTTCTGATAACTGACGGGACTGAAGTTACAAAAGTTTCCTAATAAACGCTCGTTTCAACAATAAGTAAGCAAGTAAATAGTTATGCTCAACCAAACTCAGCACGAATTCTGTTAAGGTTTTCCTCAGCTTCACGTTTTTCACGTTCTTCTTTCTCTTTTTTCAGTCTCATGTTTTCTTCCAACTTTCGTATTCGCTCTTGTTCATCAGCTGCCAACTGTTCTCTGAATATCGATAAATTCAGAAAACTCTTGATCTCGCATCTTTATACTTGAATTTGCCACAGAGTTGTAAGCAACAATAACAAGAGGCCAGTTCCTAGAAACCGACTGTATTCGAGATTTCGCAATTCAGTCATGTACGATAAACAATTCGGTTCATGTGGTGATGGTATCTTGTTGATCAACAAATATCTGAATCAATTTACATTCGTTTAACTACAATAAACTTAACCTCAACGAAGCAAGAGTTCTTTCAAGATTCTGCGATAGTTTCTTATACGAACCTTCCATTTTTTTCTCATCGTATAGCTCGTCAACCTAAACAACAATTGTGCCAATGACTGATTACCACTTGCAAAGCAAACATAGTAAATCAAGTGATCCTGAATTGTAACTTCAATTGCCGATTCGTATTAATTGATAAGTTATGTACTCTGATATCATGTAACAGTTGATCGCCTTCAGTTTTAATTTGCTTTACTGCAGATGACCACTTGCGCTGACTTTTAGAGGTAAGTTTTTTCATACTGGCCAGTAATTGCTCTTCTCGTTGCAGTAGAGCCTGCACTCGTCGATAAAGTGAGAGTCTGGAAATCAATTCATACATCTGTTACGATGTAAAAAGGGGTCGGTGGTGAAATAACAACTCTTCAGTAATAATGTGTAGCATGCCAGTAGAAACAGTTGTGCGAATTGAAATGTAATCAGAAAAATTGTTTTTGAGAATTTATTGCAGTAATATGAACGAACCTTGCACGATATTTCTTTCTTACCAGGTAGCCTCTTGTAGCGCACTGAATCTTAACGAGCGCAGCCGCGCGATACAATATTTTGTTTTTCACTCAAAAAATAGCTGAATTATTGCAGAAAACGAAAGTCAGAGATGCTATAGATATTTCTTGAAGAAACAATCTTTAAAATGTAAATCTCAAGTAATGAAAAGTGATCGAAATGTGTAACATTTAATGCTTGAAAGTGTGCCATATTGTATTTTTCTCCAACGATACCGTACCACCCATGATTGCACTTTAGCAATAAGAGCTTTGATTTGCTCTTTATCATCACGAATCATCTACAATCGTTTCATCATCAGCACCACTCTCATCGCAACAGACGCATTCAAATGATCAACACTCACTTATGATTGCGCTCATCTTGTTGACAGTCAACTGACTGATGGAATCAACACAATGATCGATTAACTCACGTGGTCAAATTCAGCAAATTTGCCAGGCTTGAAAAAAACCTTCGTTAAACCGAATTTGAAGTCGTTTTCGTCGAGACCAATAGCCCGGAAAAGACACTGAAAAGCGGCTGAAGTTTGCTTACTTAGTTAAGAAGTTATTGAAGACATGAATCTGCTGAAATGGGTTAGCGATGAAAGGCGATAATGAAAACATACTTTGCAGAAGAGTCGAGGGTGTAGGCGTGCAAGGTGGGGCGGTAGATATCTTTTGTACTTCTCGTAAAGATCCACAAATCCAGTCCTTTAATAAAATGATGCACTAGTTTGGATGTCCTGCCTATATGTGTAAAACAGCGAGTTATTGATAACACCTGATCAATAAAGACGAGTTTGAATTTGAGGAAGAGTAGTGGTGAATTACCTGGATGGATATCCTTGATGCATAAGTTTAAGTACGTTTGTCATGCCAGCACATTCCAACTGACTCAAGATTAGTGATCCTTCGAAAAGAGATGAACACATCTTGGAATTGGGTTTTATGCATCGAACAAAATGTGTTCCCTTCAAATAAGCACTTAAGAACACTCAAAATGGAGCCGAATCTTTTCAGACGGAGGACTTTCAGTTAATCAGTAGCAATCATGACAGATAGCTATTATGCTACGCATTTCTGTTCGCAGCATTGCTAATTTCCACTGAACGTTGATATAAGTTGCAAAGATTGAATGTAAGGATGAAAGTAATAATGATCAACCGTGCTTTCAAGTTTCTGCAGAAGTACATTCAACTGCGAGCGGAATTTGTTGCTAACTGAAGCACTGATGAGCTTATTTGACGAGGATGACTTGCAGCCATTCAAGCGTTCCAGGTGCGTATTTTTATCATCTTTGAATAAACGTTGAACGAAGGGAACACTGGAGAAAGTAATAGAATCTTATTTGTATGTACATTAAACAATTCAAAAATGAACTGCTGCACTTGTTTAGTAGTGCACATTTTGGGCTAATAAAGAAATTCACATAAATTTTACATGAATAAATATGCAGAAAACGCAATGTTGTATTAATATACGACAGCGTTAAAACATGAAACTATTTATTTTTTCTATCTGTTCCTGTAATATCGTATGCCTTATGATGACGTTTTGATGTGTATTATGTGCATTGCTATGACCAATAAACGCTTAGTCGTTTATCTGTTCATTTAGAATTTAAGAATAGTCATGAATTATCTGTAAATGAATGATTGCCCACAAATGGAGTGTAAACAAGCGAAACGACCTGCTTTCCTCAACGAGCGCTTTCAATGAGGCATGCAATGCATCATTGTTTTTGTCGAGAAAATGAGCAGTTTGATAGCAAACTGAACCAGCGTAATGCCTTATCAGAAATCCTTCATCATCACGCATTTCACGATGCTGACGCAGCTTTGACTGTCTCGGTGTCTGAAAGTGCCTTTTGTTTACAAAAAAGCAACGGTCATCTGGGTTTTAGACTGTTCTGCTTCAAAATATCATGAATTGAGAGAAAAGGGATTGTACACTGAGTCTGAAATGATTTTTTTGGCATTGATGGACGGCAGCAGTGAAATGTTGTGGAGAAGGGCGCGGTAGTCGAGCTTCTTCATCGAGCATATCAAGCAAACCAGTGGATCGTTGTTCGTACAATTCTGAATGAGTACAAATTCAATTCTAGTTCAAGAAACACTCGTATTCTTTGTGAAAAAGTTCTTACCGATACAATCTTGATTATCAAAATATTCAATCCGCGGTATTTTCAGTTGTTCTTTCTCGTACAGTTCCTGTTCACGGTTCAAGATACGATCGTTGAAGAAATGTTGCAATTTTTCGTTGCAGTAATTGATGCAAAACTGTTCAAACGAGTTCACTGTGAAGAATTCTGAAATTAAATTTGATTAAAGAATGACAGAGCATTAACAATAAAGATATATTAAAGAGAGCACTACCGAAGCCAGCAATGTCAAGAACACCAATGTAACTGATGCTGTCTGCGAAAGGAATGCATTTGTTGATTCGTAAGACGATCCAGTCGAACAGTTTACTGTAAATCGCCTTCGACAGTGCGTCCCTCGCAGCCGTCGCTTCAAGTGGTTTCAAGGGGACACTGCAAACCGTTTGTGATCAAATTGCTCTCGCTTATGCTGTTCGAATTGCAATAATGCAAATAATGATACTTTATAATCGTTCCCATATGATTTGTTGTTTTTTTGGGTTGCATAATGCGTGAAACAAGTCCACAACGTAATTCATTAGCTTCTACACCAAGAAGAGAGGCAGCCAAACGGAGGGATTCTTCACTGTGCACGTCCACTTTACATCCACCTTGAACCACCGTCATTTCAAAATCATTCGAAAGTGAAATAAAGCATTCACTTCTATAGAAGTAGAAATACCTTTGGTGTCGTCCGTATTTTCATCAAATTGCACGTTACCCAAATGCAGAATGGCAGCAACGATTTGAAAAACTTGCAACGACTCTTTTTCACTTAATCCAATACTCAACAATGCCTTACACAACTTATGAAAGTCTGCATAATCGTCAACAACAGCATCATGCAAATCATCCACCTGCAAGCACTAGCTCGATCATACAAAACATGTGTTCCGATGCGAATCTGCTTATGATCCTGCATCATAACCAGTCTCTAAATCACTTATACAATTTCTCTTACATTGCTGTCAGCCGTAGTTGTTAGACACTTTTAGTACGAAGGAAATTAATAACAGTGGTGATAATAATTTGAAGAGACGATAGAACAGTCATGCAATAATTTGATAGAAATTCACTTATCTTTGAAATTCTGCGTTCCCGTGGTATTTTCGAGGCATTTATTTTGTTGGCGAAGAACTGAGGACAACCCTTAGCCAAATACTGAAAAATATTCAGTGCCACAAATTACGATTAGATCATTTTCAAAGAAGGCTCGGAGTGAGTATGGTGAGGCGTTTGAAAGAATAAGAGAATCAACGTACATTAAATGACTTGACGTTCTTCAACGAGAACTTCTTGACTAGGGTTGCATCTGCACCTGCGATCAACTGATAAAATATATGGTAATTGCGTTCACCCTCTTGTTGCTGACAAATCCGAGACTTCTCTAGCAAGTAGTGAGACACGAATCCACCGGCTACTGTTTTCTTCAATATTTATCACACATTCTAATCAAATCATCCGCAAAAAAAGTTCCTTTTTCTCATACGAATTCAAGACGCACGAAGTCGAACAAACTTATATAATTGATCAAAGATTTCAATGAATTCAAAAAATATTGCATCATCAAATCAAATCTATACGAGCAAAGTCCGGCTCATACATTGCATTATCATCATTTCAAAACAAATGAGAACCATCCTCAATTTCAAGCAAATTCGAACTAATCCTAGTTCAAAAAACTTCCTTACTTTTGATCCAAAATGGATCTCAATAAACTTCCCGAATCGGCTGCTGTTATTGTTCCGTAACGTTTTCGCGTTACCAAATGCTTCCAAAATTGGATTTGCTGAAAAAAAAGTTCAAAAAAAAAGAACAACATATAGTAGAGTTGCAATATCATGCAACAAGCTCACTTAAAGTTCGATACCAAACAGTCGCTATTAAGAACTGTCGTTTTGCATTCGAAAACATCGAGTCGATCGTCTTGGTACGCATGAAGTAAAGAAGTGCATCATTTTTTTGGGGTGTGAAATAGTGATATTACAAGAAAGAAATTTGTGTTCGGTCAGAATTTGACCGAAGCGACTGTTTAAGATTCCGGAATTCCATATTCCGATCTAACCTCGAAAATTTTTGGTCAATATCCGACCAGAAATTTACCGAAATCTGATAATTTGTTAGAATTTCTCGAAATTTTCAAAACAATTGCAACTGAAGGTTTTCAACATTCCAAAATTGATCAAACATTTATAGATGACGAAGAAGAGTCTGCAACTGTTCAGGAAGATAAATTCCAGTAAGGTATTTTTCATTTCCGTGAGGGCTTTTTCAACGATTCAAGGCAGTTACATACCAAAATTTTACTAGAATGTCAGGGCTAGCGTAATACTGTCGAAGAAAACTCACACTGGCGAGTGGGTATATTGAAAAACGTCGAAGAAGACTCCCTCAATTAGAAAAGTATCAACTACGTGATTGGAAAAGTATCGAAAAAAAAAACCGTTCAACCGGGGAATCGTCAACGGAGAAATAACCTAACTGCAGAATTTTGACAGATGAAAGCAAAAGTGTAGACAAATCAAATTATGAACTGTGACTGTACGTGAGTTGAAGCAAAAGCGTTGACAATTCAAGGTGCCCGAAGTGAGGTAAGTCCAGATTGGTCAG